TATGTTGAATGTTTGTCCGTGATTTGTGCATATCGAGATCCTCGTGGATTCCAACAGGAACATGCAAGTTAAAAAGGGCGATGTATATAGGGCCGTTGGATCTTGGAGATAATCGACGATTGATATCTTAAAAGGGCAAAGGCAAAAAGAGAGGTCTTGGTCGTTGGATCGTGGCCGAAATCAGCGGCTGTGAAGGCTAGTTGAAAAGACAATAGAGTTTCAACCTTTGGATTAAAGGAGAAATGAACAGTTGTAATTAATAAGACATTAATATGTACGTTGTACGAGGCCAACGTGAATTATGGATTGATGACTATGGGACGTTGTGATTGACTGACTGGGCCCGATAAGAGAGATATTCGAATTTTAAAATTTGAAGTGAAAACCACAAGAGGTGTTGCAAAACTCAAGTGTGTACAGACAGGTCGAAAAATAAAGAACTGGAATTCACCAACCAAGATCAAGGACAAATCTACTAATAGATCGATTTATCCTATCTCGATCAGAGTAAGGGGGACCAAATTATATGGGATATCACACAAGGTAGAACAAATCCAGCAAACCGATCGACTAAGACCTAGCGATATGATCGGTCGAGCAAAGTCATAGGCAGGTCGAACGCCAATGTAGAACAAAGAGTCTTCGGGTCGAAGATGAAATGAGGGGTCCAAAGAGAGCAACGACAGGTCGAGCTAGGGTCCTTGGATGGAGTGTTAAACTCAACCTAAAGGTATGGTTGGTCTTGTGATCGACCAGAAGGAAAACATTTGGGTATGGTACATGCAACATTGTACCCCAAACAGGATTCGGGTTGGTCGCACTATTACACGATCTAATAAGAAAGACTAATGGATAAGAAAAAATATTATTAGGATAAGAGCCACACATAGGGTCACGTGGCCTAACAAGCAGTTCGACAGAACCGCCTTACGAGCTAAGATAGACAATACATAACAAGAAGTCCAATATATAATAACAAAGATAAATAATTCATAACAATTTAAATTATAGAACACTAAAAACTTCAAACAACATAAAAAATCATTTGAGACCTAATACTTTTTTAAGCACAACAAGAAGTTCCTGGTGGGCTTGCAATTCTTCTTCTGTCATGGTTGAAGTATCCTCCTTTAGAGTTTCTCTGTATGTCTTCCATGACACTATACGAACTAGATTTTTCAAGTCCTTGTGTTTCTTCAAATGAACTTCTTTAACCTCACTAATCCCGGCCAACAGACGTTCAACATCTGGACCGGTGCTCCCTCATGCAGTTGTTTTTTCCTTTATCTTCCCCGCCTTTGCTGCTTTTTGGCCACTTGGTCATCACACATACATGTCCTCTACTTCACCACTAGGCTCAACATCTTTTTCAGAGCCAAAGTGTGATCTCCAATATCAGTTATTCTAGCTTTTTTCCTCCTCCAGATGTCTAAGATGCATGCCCCCATCCAATTTGCCATTATTTTTCAAAACCTCCCAACAATGAAGCCATTTAAAGCGTCTTTTCTTTTCTTTTTTTCTTCGCTATTTCACTCCATTAAAGCATTCTGCAAAACAATTGCATCATTTTCACTTCTTTTATCAGCCCAAAAATCTTTTTATTGATACATTAAATTTGAGGCGATCTTCATGAAAAACAGAAAAACAAGATTTTGCGTATCGCCCTTTTATCTCCAGCGACGGTAGGACTATTGCTGCGAAGCTACTGATACGAGTCTTATAGGCGCTGTGTTGTAAAGACATGCTTTTCGAACTCTAGTAGCTCATCATCCGGTCTCAGTAGGTTCCGGGCAAACCGTAGTCTAGGGGGTCCTTCCAGTGATTTCTTTCAGTGGTCGCATCCGCGGTGAAGAAAGAAGGTAAACCTCAGCCGGAAAGGTTTTTTGTAAAGCTTGCACGACGAAAGAGCTTGTAAAGCGGAATAGCCCTTCTTCACCGATATTGCTGGATCGGTAGCTAGGTGACTCCATAATTCTCTGAATAAGGTTTCATGCTTGACCAGCTTCATTATAGTACTGGTAATTCGCCTCCAAAAACCTTCAGACGCTTGTTGAGCGCCATTGATCGGATCACTTGAGATGGCACAGAAAGCTCGACATAGTAAAACGTCCTCCTCATGTGACCACAACATTGCTGTCGCTTTACCGCGTCTTTTAGGCTCAACTTTTTTTCATTTTTCTGAATCTGAATCAAGACAAATGTTGTCAAGTCCTTCAACCTCCGGGATCCTGCAAGGTCTTGGGACTTCAATGGGGCTACTAGAGAATCCATGCTCAAATTTTCTTGTTGATAAGGAATCGCATATGCATTTGGAACTCCATATTGGAACGACATTGCCCACATATACTAAGATTGATTCATGTTCATTAAATTTGGTGACTGGGTAAACAAGGTTGCTCTGAATTTTGAGGAATTGGATAAGAAGACATTAGCGCGGGTACTTGAAAAGGAAAATTTTGAAATTGGGGTTGTGTTGCATTCTAGGAAATTGAGTAAATTGCATATTTTATTAATAACGTGAATTTACGAAGACGGACTATCATCCTCCAATGAGTTTGTCATATTTGTGTTGGATCTGTATGGATTGTTATTCATTACAGTTTGAGAGATATAGAAGATATGACTTTTCTATTGTTTTCTTATGAAAGATGTAATAATATATGAAAAATTATAGAGAAAACAATCTCATGTATAGACGAAAATTCTCAATGTCAATTCTTATCAGTTCAACGCACAAATCAAAGCATTCGACAAAAATAAATAGTTCATGGATGACAATACACCTGCAACTTTCATTTTTTAACCATCAATATTCCAAGCATCTGACACAGAAAAAAAAAAATGATAACAATTGAAAGCTTATTTATGGATGACAATTCAAAGCTACTCTAACAAATGATATCATTGGTGGATGACACTTCACTGATGCTTGTGACCTGGTTTTTTTTTTTTTTTTTATATATATATCACTATTCAACTTTAATAATATAAAAAAGTATAGAATTCATTAGAATAACAATTAACGTTTATAATATGTTAATTTAAAATTATAAAATAAAAAGCAAAATTGTTAGTATTCTCTGTTGTTCAAAAAATACCTAGTTTTTAATTGTTAATTTTCGACAATAATTGCAACTCATTCATAATTTAATTAATTTTTTTTATTTTTCTTTTCAGGTGTCAAGAACTCTTTTTTTTTTTCGAACCAAACAACATTCCAACAAGCTTTAACACAAGAGCGGGTTGCCAAAACGGGTTTATAAACTCAAACATTAAATCTATGTGCTTTAATGGTTAAACCTCGAAGTTTGAGTTTACAAACATGTGCACAAACCGCCCGTTAAAGATGCTCTCACTTGGCAATTAGCCAACACACATTCTCTACTTGTTTTATCTTCTTTGATACTAAGCCATTGCCATTGGTTTTCCAAATACGTTTCATTTTGCCCACAAAAAACTCCGTAGTTTCACACTAAAGAGAACTTTCATTCACGTAAAAAAATTAAAAAACCAAAGTTCAAATAGCATTAAAAAAATCCAAAATTCATCAAACAACATAAACAAGTATGAAGATACACAAAACAGCACGAACTCTGTTCCTCTCACTAAATCTATATTGATTCACAAATAAAGAACATTTTAACTCGGTCACATACAAAACATCCCGTAAAAATGGTAATCATCATCGTATCCCATACCTTTATTGAAGGGAGGCTTAATCCCATTTTACATTTCACGCCAGCAAATCAAACAGAAACCTCACATACAGTCCGAGACGAACACAAATCCCAGACAAAAAAAAAAAAA